AATGTTATGCTAGCAGAAGCAAAAATACCTCCAGTAACATCCCTAGGCAGCAGTTTTGCAACCAGAGCTCCGAGCAACTCTGATAATTGCGACAAATGGCAAGGGTTCTAGAGGACCTTGGGTCTACACTTGCTACCCAGACGTAGAACCGGTTGGCCAGTTGGTGGAAAAGGACGTCACACTTTTCGAATGTAGTTTTCCCTCTCAAACTCTGTTGGCTACGGGAAGCTTTTCCCACAAGGAGGGGGAAGAAGCCAAGGCAAGCCCCTCCGGCAGCAGCCGACTCAACGGAAAAGTGTAACCGGGAATTTGTGGGCTTCTCGTGTGTGACAGCACCAGGAGAAATTAGGCATCCGTATCGGACTACAAAGCTTGCGTAAGTGTTGGCCGCAGAGCAAACTAGAGATAATTAGTGCATCCCCAGTAGAATCAGTCTACATATGTTCCTACAGGAGAGATCTCTAACTAAAGAGCATTTAGTATTAATCCCGAAAGTAAAAGAAAAACATTGGCATTGAAGAAAGAAAAGGACATTAAATGTGTATGGATCCAGCACACATGGGCATTGTCCTCAGTAAAATAGTTGCGTCGGCGAGGGAGTGTTTTCGGAACGGCGAAGTTCAGTAGCTGATTGCCGTCACAGACTGAGTAGCCGCCCAGGAGTGGTACAGAGAGGCAGGACAATAGAAAGGAAGCGAGTACTTTGAGAACTACCAAAACAACGGAACACCTTGGTTCCAGAGATTCAAGTTTCGAAGAAAATCTATCCTCTGAATAAATAGAACAAGAAGTGGCTATTATTGTCTAAAAGAGTATTTTAATAGATTTAATACTTTTAATACAGAAATGTGTGAATGTGGCGAAGCTGAAGGAACTTTAAACCACATCTTATGAGTGTAAATTATTCAAGGAATTCACAGTTGATATGATAGGTGATTTAATATTTGCAGTGTTGTATCGAAGCCATGCTGCACTGTACGTTGCCGGAAGCAGCTATCCCAGGAGCTCGATATATCAATAAACAAAACAGAGGTCCGGGTTCGATTCCCGGCGCTACCAGATTTTTTCTGAGAAGTAGTGGGTTTAGAACGGGGTCCACTCAGCCGCGTCATGATAATTAAGGAGCTATTTCAAGGAAATAGCAGCTCTGGTCTAGAAAACCGAAATTAACGGCCGTGGAGATCCGTCGCGCTGACCACGCGGCACTCTATCCGCCAAAGTTGGCACTAACTTCGCCGACAAGCGGCGGTCGCTCGGTCGCTCGGCGATATGTCAATATGAGAACAAAATTTGGTCGTTATTGCGATAAGCCCAACCAGACGTTTTATGTTAAAACGGAATTAGTGTATAGTTATTTTAAGGGTAGTTAAAAGTTAAAGCTTTATGCAAGAGCAGCTGCTGGCAAGATGCGCTTTTCATTTCTTCAAGAAAAGCTGACTTGTCCGATGATAATTGAAACATTTTGTCGCCCTCTGATGTCACGTTGAGGTACGTGGGCGCGAAAGAGGACCCGTTCATTTAGCACTTTGTTGTCTCGTTAGCATGCAATTGTCTCTGTATGAGGACGGGATGCGAAGTGTTTTGTTCTTGTCGATGCATGGCTCGCTTGGTCTGTTAGGTTGGACATAGCTATAGCACATACGGCATAGAAATGCAGATTACTTTATGGTGCTTTGGTGAGACCATTGTTGTTAGATTTGAGACGCGTTTATGCAACAGCCGTACACGCCTGTCGTGTCGTGAAATGAGACCTCGGGGCGTTTTCTTCCGACGTAACTAGAATTCAACATAACTATAACACAAATGAACAAGTCGTTTCACAGTCGCTCCTTTCGTATTAACTACTCACTAGAATGTCAAAGAATATTCCTATGCAGTGTTTTACACAAGACGTTAGTGCCCGACAAATAACACGAAACAACCAGTAGAGCAAACACTAACAACTCAGTTCACAGCATTACGGCACGTGTCTGCCCCTCGTGCTCAATATCCCGGAAGCTGAGAATGAAACCACGTAAGCATGAATAGAACAATTTGTTCGTTTTAGGAAGAAACGCTCTGAAGTGTAGTTAATTTTGCTGTTACAAGCATGGGTTCTAGTCTAAGTCAATTTCTTTTCCGTGTATTTAAGACTTCGGGCCTCTGTCAGCCATGAGCGTACAGTATTTTCATAGTGGTCATTGCACCAGAACGTACTCTGAAGGTCACAAAGCAATGTGTGTGTGAGTGAGTTCAAGAACTTAAGAGACAATTACTGAAGTCGCACTTACTAACGAGAAGATTGGGGAGGTACACAGTGGACACTTGTCAAGGATGCGGGGCGCCGACATCCTCGTGTTTCAGATAGCTTCTGAACTACCTGTACTTTCGGGGTTGTCTTCTTTTAGAATAATTGAATATAGTAAAAGGCTATGATGAACTCTTCACCACTGTTTGCTGATGCTTATTGAAACTGGCGGGAAGTCAAAACAATGTACGGAACGAGTAACCCGTACCTTTCAAGGTTTTCCTATTATTACACACACACTCGGAAATTAAATGTACTCCCCCCCCCCCTGCACAATCTGTTTATATGCCTCGTATGGTTCTCACAATACACAGCGGCAATTATTTCCGTAAACAGCATTTGTTATGGAGATGCCGTGTTTCCTGTGAGGTGCGAACTGACTATCTAAATGTTATGAACGTCGCGCTTCAAAGGTTTAACCGTTGATGCGAAGGAAATGTAGGTGGAATTAAAGCGTTATTTTTTTTGCCGCGTTTTAAAAGAAAATGCGCCTATTCGCTTCGCATGGAACAGCTCGAGAAGTGATGAAAATGATTTTCATGAAATCTACTGGACAGATGTGTCGACACGTTTGCATGAAAGGGCCTCCTACGCTAAATCTTTATCCGAGTGCAATTTGCAGAGAAGAAAGAAACGCGCGTTTCATTCTGCAATGTTCTTCGCGTAAGCCGAGAACCTTTGGACTGATTCTCATCAAATTTATTACTGAGGCCCGCCTCGCCTGTTTTGATGTATTTACGGGGCCACCAGAAGCTGTCGTTCGCGTGTTGAGAAATGAAAGGCAGCGCCAGTCAGAACTGCTGCGCACTGAGTTGCGGTGGAATCCCCGAGTAAGGTTGCGCGCTAGCTTTGTGACGTACTTCTAAGCGGAATTCCCCCTCTTTAAGGAGAATCTACTGCGGAAGTCGGTTGCGGTAATATTTTATTCAGGTTCCTTCGCCTTTTACGCAAATTGTAATTGTGCGTGTTCTGCGAGGGTGTCCAAATCCCTATTTGATTGTTGTGGCACGTAACTACTATTATCATATTTAGTACAATATATATAGCAATCTAAGTATCCGGTTTATTCCCACGGACCTAATAGAGAGCACTAAACAATGTGAAATTTATCCCGTTCTCTTACCAGTATGCACGGTAACCATGGCTGTTAGAGCGATGTGCAATTGTTATAGAGTTGGAATCCTTCGTGTTTCTGTTCATTCGTTATTCTGTCAAAGCCTCCCGCTATGTGTGTATGTATGTATGTATGGGCTAGGGATCGGCTGCTCCTGGCTGTTCTGCTGACGATGGTACCTGCCTACTGAGCCTCTTACAGGCCTGCGGGTGTCGCAGAGCCTAAGCAGAAGGCAGTTGCCGGCTTCCAGATCAAGTCATGTGGGTACAGAAGTGGTACTGGGGCGGATTTTCTCGGAGTACTTACGATTTCAACACAGACCGACCGCCTCACGTTCATTAATCATGGAAATTGCGTAGTGTGGACACTGGCAGCGTCATTAAATAATCATTATCCAGGCAGCTCTGACAATCTGTGTTCAGTATGTATTGTCACGTGTATGAGTGACCGTAGACGGGTTTTGGATTTACTGAACTCTTACAGATCCGTGACTACAAGTAATTAACAACACTTTCACTAATTCACACACTTAAGTCATCTCAGCCTGCTGTGTCTCCACTAGCCGTTGTTTGTCCCTCGCCTCCGCTGCCAGCTTCTAACAGCAACACTTCACAACAACGGAACCCCCGTAAGTCTTCTGACTCACGCATTCGCTAACTTGTCCTGCTTATTTCGGCACGGACTGCACAGAAGACACCGTTCGTCTGTTGCTCTGCAATTGTTACGGTTCCAACGTGGTCGATACTCAGCCATCGCCTAGCAACGGCCGTTGTTTGCAGAGCCGTTACTTAGCAGCGGCTGTTGTGTAGCTGCTTATTTCACTGTCGCTGCCCAGCAACGGATCTGCATGCCACAGTATTGTCTTCCGTGTTGTGACGCCGTATAGTTCGGAGAGAGACCGACGTTTCGGTAGAATATCGCCTTCATATTCAGCAGAATTCTATAGGCGTTTTCCACCGGTTGAAACTTCGGGTGAACTGGAAACACGTAGACGAGTGCGCTGCCGTCTGCTTGAAGCAGACTCCCCCTTCCTGACGTCGCCCGCGTGGATCTTGCGCTGTGCAAGACACGGCAGAGCAGGAGGACACACACAGCACACGGCCGTCGCAGTTCCTGGAAACTGTACTGAGCTGTCCGTCAAGACTGCCTTGTTCGGTGTGTCAGTTAGACAACAGACTGAATGGACAAGGAATCGAGGTTCGCTTCGAGGCCTACCTAGTCTCCTAGGGGCAGTTTCCCATGCGGGTAAAGCAGACGGTGCGTGAAACTGAAGGCTCCTCTTGTTCTGGCCTTATGCTAATTGAGCGAAGGGATTTCCGTTACCATACTCGTCGTTAAGAACATCTTCACTGTTGGCTTCTTAGGCACATAGCATTGTTACAGACAGACAGGCTTTCTGCCTGCGGCTGCCTGCTTCCAGTCTCCTTGTATTCGCATTTATTTGAAGTAAGGACCGATTCTCTGTGGGGCTGGGTGGCCCGTTTGACTTCAACGGGCTGCAGCTCGTACCGATACTGGGGCTCAGAAGTATGTTGCTCTTATTTGCAGCTCTCTCTCTGCCACCCTGAGGATGGAGGCAGCATGTGCCTCCGATACGTTGGTGAACTCCTACAAGATTTTAACCACTGCGAGAACCACAAATCCATTGTTTCAGTATTCCGAGCAGTCCTCAGGGGACAGAGCGGGGAATTCCCTGCAGACTCGGACGCGCTTGCTGTATGAAACGGCCGGGCCCAGCGCTGTTGAGTCACAGAACCGGTTGCGAACCTATGGCCATCCCCCCCCGTGTTACTGCAGGTCAGACCTTGCGCAACAGTTCGCTCGAAGCCTTCACCCGACAGGTTGTGGCATCACAGTGTGGTTGGTCATCTGACGGAGCAGGATTCGCGACAGAAGAGGCCGCAGTTCGGTAAGTATTGTTTGGTTCTGCCGGTGAAAGAAAATGCCTTTTTGATCCCTGTCTGAGGCAGCTCTGCGTGTAGTGTGTCCTGCAGGTCTGGCGATCTCGTTCTGACTTCCTGACGAAGTGAGCCACTTCATGCACTCCCAGAGATGTTTAGACACTTTATCTAACTGCATGGAGCAGCCCCTTCTTGAGAAGCTGACAGTGACTCACCCCGCCTCGTATGCAGCACTGGGCTCTCCTGAGCCAGATGAATCCATTTCACACCCTGTTTATTTTATGCGTGTTTTAACGTTGTTATCCAATCTACTTCAAGGTCTTCCAAACAGTCTCTTCCCTTAATTTTTTATGGAATTTCAGGGAGTTTTACCACTAGCATAGTGGCCCCCCCTCATCCCAGCCAGCGCCACATTTACACGCACAAGATGTGCCCCCACATCCGTTATCAGTACTTAAAATTGTAAGAACCTTTTTTAGCCTCTTTCCTTATTTTAAAAAAATGGAAGCAGGCTTATGCGATCTCCGTGCCATCTGTGTGTCTGTGCCCCCCCCCCATGAACTTTAGAATACCTGTACCAATCTGTATGAAACTTGGTACTGCATATCATGGCAGCTGGGCCTATCTCAACAGCGTACTTCATAAACCCCTGTCATCAGTCTGTGTGTGTCGTTGCTAGGCAGCGTCTCGGCAAAAACGTTACCGCTGCAACGAAAAATTGGAGGAGTCGTTTTATATGTGGTCCCTGTCCTATCATAGGCAAGTAGACAATTCATTCGTCCCAGATCTTTTCACTTAATATTGATTTTACTTGAGAAAAGTCACGACCTTTGCGCAGTACAAACGCGCTTGACTAATGCTGCCAGTAACAAGAACCGGCAGATGCTTGTGGACATTGGCATTCAAAGGTACGCAGATATGAATTAAATTAATCCATTGAAGCGTGACGTTTATCTAAATAGTACTAAAAATTCGGATCTTGCCTCAAAGAAAACATTTCTCTTTTCCATAGCAACGGGCAGCCGGTTAATGCTGTTTGGGGAAACAGTCGCTGTTTACTGTGAGAGCCATACGGAACACACAGACACACAGATACACTGTGCAGTTTTCGAATTTCAAATTAGGCGCTGCGTTTAAGTACCAATTTGCTTCGAATGATTGATATTTGCAGTTACATTTTGGCTGTCTGAAGGCAAACCCCCCCACCCCGGCAAGATACTTTAGACGCCCAGACGCGAACCCCTGCCGCCGTACTTTGTGCGGACATCACCGATTTATTATTTTCGAGTTTCGTGATGGGAGACACATTAATGAACACCTTGCGCGTGTGTGTGTGCACCCTGTATTTTGGGAACCGTGTCGAAGGATTCTTCTGTCTCATGACATCAGCGGCATTGAGGAAAACATGTCTACCTTCAGGGTCACTGTGGCTGCATGAAAGCGGTCAGCGATGTGTTACCGCCTGCCGCCGTTTGGAGGAGTGTTCGCAAAGATACGTTGCAGAATTGCGCTGGTTCAGCCATGTCTGTCTGTCTGTCTGTCTGTCTGTCTGTCCGCGTGTAACAGCCTCTGAAGTTTGTTATCCGCGAGTTTTACGAAATCTGTTGACACTTTCCAGTTTTTTGTTAAAATCTGACCAAAAAAACGGGCACTTTACCTAAGGACTAACAAATATTTATAGGGGCGAAAAATGTTTCTAAATAATGTTTGCGGAGAAGAATGGAACACACATGTTGAGTTCACGTTTGTCCGAGACTGCAGCGAGCAGAATCGCTACGGGCGTTACGTTCCGTGGCTTGTGAGTGCCCTAAGCATATCTTCCCGGGAAGTTCCTCTCAACATTTGATCTGTTCCCTTGCGTCACATGACATCAACCAACTTCCGTTGACGGCTGATGATTTTGGTGCAGTTTCAGAATGAAGTTGATAATTCGTCTCGGATGTGACGCCATGTGCTCTGGTAGGAATTTATCCACATTTCAGAGGAACGCAAGGTCTCCGAAGCAAAGATCGGTGCTCGGTTTTACTTGTAGATCCCCGAATATGAAGGCATTCCTTCACTGGCCTGAGAACCCCAAGTTCAGCGAGTTAGTCAGTGGTTCAGTGCAGCAACTTCCGGTGCTTGGATCCGTCATGAGTAGGTACCCGTGTTTATCGCAAGGCTGTTCCACGAATATTTTAGCACTGTACCCCGTTAAACGGCCCTGATTTTTGTTAAGGACAGTTCTGGGTAGCTGACGTCATGGCGGAGTCTTCACCTCGCGCAAAGCAGTGAAGTGAGTAAAGGTATCCCTGTAAGGGGCCCCATACATGTACGAGTCCGGCTGGGCGAGCTTGACTTGGGAGCCGGGCTCGGAAGAATTTCACCACATCTTTCCCAAATGATGCCCGGATACTGCCACTTGTTTCAAGCGAACTGCACGAGTTCGAATGCTCTGTGCTGCGAACCTGCCGCAGAACCGGCAATTCACGGTACTCATCTAAAAGCCGCGTGAATGTTTTGTTACACATGGAAGCCGACACGGTTGCAACTCGTCACACTGCCTGTTCGTATGGCGTGTACATACGCGAGTCTGACTCGGGACTGCCCACACACGTACGAACCAATAGCTAGCCGTCGCCGAGCCGAGTCCCACCGAAGGCCCTGGCGAGCCCCGCCGGACTCTGCCCAGCCCGGATCGTGGTGACCCACACACGGACGAGTTTGGCTCATTTGAACCCGAGCCAGACTCGTACGTGTATGGTCCCTCAACAGGCTGTGGAGGCCCATAAGGTTGTGAGATGTTCAGGTTCCCACATTTTCTAGACAGATTGCGGCAAGGTTGTCAGCCTTACGCACCGGCCGCCCTTTATCCACAAGAATATTCCTGGTACTCATTTCTGTTAAGAGGCTGAGTCGACCCCAGGGCCATAGTGCTGCTGGAAGGATTAGGTCAATTGAAAAAATCCAGTTACCTCATCGGGAGGTGAACCCGCGACCTTCCGGCTTGTAGCATAGTGCCTCAACCAACTACGCGAGTAACGTCTGTAATCTGAGTGGAGCTGCGAAGAACGCGCGTGAATCCCAGCTGACAGATCTCTTCAGGTAGGGTCAGCTTGTTTGTAATTCTAAACCCAGTTTCCCATCAGCTGGTCGCTACAGCAGAATGTAGCATGAAAATATTAACCAAGACAAGTTTGCTATTTTTTTTAATTCGCTTAGGGCGGGGTGGAGTCGAGCTGGGTCCACTCGGCACGGCGGCCACTGATTGGTCTATTGTACCTGCCTCGGGTGATTATGATGATGGAGAATTTGGTGGAATGAAGATTTGCAGGGGAAACCGAAGTACTCGGAGAAAACTTGCACCAGTCCCACTTCGTCCACTACAAACCCCACATGACCTGACCTGGGCTCGAAACCGGGCAGCCGCGGTGGGAAGCCGGCGACTAAACCACCTGAGCTATGGCAGGCCTATTATCCGGATTAGTGAAGCAAAAGGTAGCCCTAAAAGACACAGAACACTAAGAACTCAAATAAAATGGGGAATTTAATGATACCAGTAGTGCTGATGGAAGCAGATAACAGAGTGTCATGTAGAGCCCTCATTAGAAACTACAGACAGACAATACATGTATCCACCGATAGAAGGCTCAGAAGCTGTACTTGTTTCTGAGCGTAATGATGCAGGTCTGAACAGACAGGTGGCTCATCTGCCTGCCTAAATGTCACGTGGCTTCTAAAGCATGCACTCAACTGTGAACGGCGTTTCTCATGTAGCGATCCGGATTAGCGAGGGTTTCCTGTAAACGCATTTTTGAACTCCGTCGAGGGGCGGGCTGCGTTAGCGTCTGACATGTCTTGAGCAAACGTGGCGTCAGGTTCAGTGCAGCTTTATTAAAAATCGTACATAGATTCTCTCAAAAGTCTTCAGTGTTCTTTGACTGCGCGGGCTAGCATAGCCGTAACTCTGTAGACCTATATTCGGGAAGATCTTGGTTTGAATTCCGGCTGGGGTCGCGACTATCCTGACCCGGGGGGGGGGGTTATTGTAAGTTCCTGGAGGCTCTCTTCCGAATCGTTCTCAAGTCATTACTGGGCAGAGCCTCCCACTCGACCCTGTGCAGTACTGAAGACATCATGAAGTAATCCACAAAACAAACAAGTTAGTCACACCCGTTTAGCACGTTTCTATGGATCGTTGCCTGAGTCACTTCAATTACCATAAGTCTGTTTAATTTCCAAACATTTAGGCACGTTACACTGGGGCATGCCTAGGGCGAGGGACTGGCTTCACTCCATGGAGCTGAGCCCTTCCTGAGAAGCCGCCAGTCGCTCAGCTACTCAAGAACTTCCCAACATTTTATGGAACCCGAAGGTTTATTACCGTGTTCACAATAATCCGCCACTGGTCCCTGTCCTAAACGAGATCAATCCAGTCCACACCAACCTAGCCTCTCTTTCTAAGATCCATTTTAATATTATCCACCCGCCTACGTGTCCGTTTTCCTTAGCGTAGGTCGTTTATCCAAAGAATGCGGCCAAGTGCGAGGTCCTTCGTGACATTTCGTAACAAGCGTTTCTTTTTACTGTGAGGAGCAAAGTGGAGGACCACACCTTGTCGGCTGTCCGCAGCTACCCTCCGTAACTGGAGGCCGCTTCCTCCATCCACAACCTGAGGACGTGCCATGACGCGGAGACCCACTTAACTTTCGCGTCGACTGGGCAGACTACACGCCTGTTTTGGATTCGATTATTATGACTGAGGATCTTCATTGTTTTCCTCAGTCCATGAAGGAAAGTGGTACCTGAAGTTACGCCTGGACCCTTTCCTTTCGCATTCAGCTTCGTGCTGTACCGATAAGTGGGTGAAGGTGAAGCAGTCGCGGATGAGGTGTACACAGCGCTTGCGTAACCCTCACCGATTCCGAGAAAACCGCCGGCGACGAACAGCGCCTGTTTTCCAAGCTTCCGTCGTTCACTTGACGCGTCGCATAGACCTGGACCCAGCCACCTACCAGACTGTACGGTGAGTTAGCATACAAATGAAGATGGACTGAATTCGTGAGAAATCTAAACTCGTGTGTATGAATTGGCAGAACTTAAGCCACCGTGTGGACTGGGCCACGTCAGCCACAGTGACTGGCTACGGACCAGACGACCGCGGTTCGATTCCTGACAGGCTCTGGGTTCCACTCAGCCTCCTGTTTCTGTCTGAAACACCTCTGAGGGAACGTCAAACTTCGCGGGAAAGTGTCCTGTGTGACCGTCGATGTCGCCACTGCAGCGATTTTTATTCCCATCTTATTGTCACATGGTATGAAGTGTGCGACTGTAGACGGGGTTTCCGATAATTCGATTTATTGACCATTTAAGGATCATAACTACAAGGAATTCCACACTTTACAATTGACTGGAGCACACCGTTTAGTGTCCTTGGTCAGTTGCTAGAAGTTTACTGGTAACGGCTTCTAACAATGGCTGTGTCTCTGCTTCCGGGCTCACGTCCTGTCAGAACGGCGGCTTCCTTCCAGCTGAACTATTCTTGCTTCAGACTTTCGTACAAAACTGACTTGGTTTGTCTGCCTCCGAGGCTTATGTTACGACCGACGCTCAGTCGGCCAGCCTGTCTCTTGCAGGACAGCACCCGTCTGGGGCTTACGGCCAGATTTGTATTACTGTCAGTTCCGGGTTTGTTGATTTGGGGGGGGGGGAGTTGCATTCAACGAACGACCAAAAGGATTACCTGTTTTATTGCCCGACGCAAAAGTTGCAAGCATCAGAAATATTTTAGGTGATGCTGTAACCACTGTAGGCCCAGTTATCACCTGAAAGTAGCAATGGAAATTGTTAGCAAGCAGAGTGGGACCCTGTTCACACGCAGACGAGTTCAGAGCCTAATGTGAACTGTTGCAGTTCGCACGTGTTCGGATGAGTGAGTTCGCGTTCGGATGAGCGAAATTTCGTAAAGTGAGGACTGCCTATATTTAGGTCTTTGAAATTCAACGAAGCTTAGGACCTGGCCATGTCTGAAACCGCCACTGAATGGGAGCGCCATTTTTGTGATCACATTTTCATAACGAAACGTGATTCTTTGATCTCTACGAGTAATTCAAACCATGACAACTCACATATTCGTATTTTGACATAGATTAGCAGAGTTCAGTCTTAATATTCTAAGCAAACGAAATGATTTCACATGACCTTGGTCTATATTTGCCTGCAGCATTCATTTCATGTTCCGTGATACATGTCTTCTGCCTTCATCTGTGCAGATCCAGAAACCCAGTACGTGGTGGATAGGCGTTCCCAGACGGATTTTGCATCTCATGTCCGCCATTATCTGTCTGCACGTATATCGGGCATTTACACGAAGTCCTTATGTGCACACACCGTGCTAAATATTTATCTTATCTGCATTTTAGTAACATCCAACACGGTTTATGACCTTTCCTTATCATGTAGATGTGCTAGTTTTAATTTTAAGTACAAATGTCAAAGAAATGCCCAGCGTTTCAATGCATGAGAGTAATTTTCAAATAATTTATAAGCTATAAACACAGGAACACAGGTGTTTGTGGAAATATTTCAGATAAGAGAGAGCGACGGGAGATAGGAAAAAATTTCATAACGAGGAGCTTCATAATTTATACATGTCAGTTATTATAAGAAAGATCAAATCAAGGAGAATGAGATGGGTTCGGTGTGTAGTACGCATAGGGCAGATGAGAGATGCATAGAACAGTTTAGCAGGAAGAATTAAGAGGCTGCCTTGGGGACCTAGACGCTGGGTAGAAGGACGATTTCATCGATGTGGCCAGTGGCTGTGCCCTCTGGAACACGGTGACGGTCCGCCAGGAAGTAAATTTCTTGACCAGGTGAAAGAATATCAGCTTCTCAAGAACTCCTCTACTCCATGGAGTTTTATAGTTGTCGGGTTATGATCCGGGCCTCCTCCTGAAAGGACCACCTCGAGATGGGATGTGGAGGGTTTTCGAGTACGTGTGACGTATTTTGACACGATCAGTTGACGTGTCAGTCGCTTGCCGAATGCCGACTTGGTCCTCAAGAATAATGAGGTGCCGTCTGCAAATGGCAGTAGTCCTTACACGTCACGTGATCATCATTCACAAATGCCGTCGAGGAATGGGCGTAGAAACGTATGATCTTGTATGTAATCCTGTTCATCACCATGTGATCATCATTAACAACTGTCATGTCTCCGGCTGCAGAAATGTGTAATCGTGCAGTAAAGCCATACACCCCCAACAATGGCAGGTAAACAGACTGCGTCAAGCCAGCCAAGGCTTCTGATTGGAGCTCTTTGCTGCAACCTCCTGCGTCGCCCTATAAGAGTAGGTGTTTTGCTGCCAGGCCGACAGGCCAACCAGCAGCGCAACATTCCAAGGTACGAATGTCTTGTTATTATTAAGTTATATTGCTAGTCGCCTTGTAGCTGTAAAGTCTCCCTACCTCCGCTTCATGTGATAAACGAGGTAACGGCGATCGAGTCCTGCTTGTATAAGCACTACATTACATGGCACAATGAACTGTTGTGTTGACACAGGCTCCGTCAGGACGGTCAGGACTTTCTCCGAAGGGTAAGGGGGGCAGGTAGACAATTTGCCTACGGACATGATGTTTAGTGGTCGCCTTGGAGTGGTAAGGATAGAAAAAATAGTTCTTTGAATAATTGTAATTTTCGGTACTAATATTGGCTAATTGCCTTTTCCTTAAATTTCGATTCCCCCCCCCCTTCAGAATCCAGGTGTAGGGGCAGGTGCCTGGCCTTTAACAGACTTGGGGGTTTCTCCAAACTCTTCTGCTGCCCTAATTCCCCTGTTGCTTTCTCCTGAACTTTGAGTAAGCGTGAGCTTTCACATTTGCGCAGAAGTTGAGAAGGCGCGGTTGATATGTAGGCCATCTAGTGCAGCTGATGCGGGCTTCAGTAACAGTGCAGTGTTACAGCATGGGTTCTAGGTGCAGCTTGTGTCACATGTTGTAATCATCTGGTTTGTGCCACCATGTAGACTGGTAGGTAGGTATAAAATTCTACTCTGAAGATGGAGGAAATTAGTTCCTCTGAAACCATAGTACCCATCGACTAAGCTAAATGGTGCCTTTTCTTGTGGAGTTATTTTATGTAATTACCAGTAGCTACATTACGTAATGTCAAATGGTGGGGTGCTAGGCAACGGCTCGCTAAGCACGTTTCCTAGGTAAAGCAGGCAACTATAGAACTTCGGTTACTAGGGTTTTGATACACGCAGTGACTGGAATCCGATATCCACGGCAACAAACCCTTCGAAGAACACCAACGGGTAAGAACGCATTAACTGTACTGTTGGAAGAGGTGACTTCTGCACGGTTTGCCGAAACATTATAACAGGGGAGTTTGCCGCATGAATTGATTAAATTCATGATAGAGCATGATCCGCTGTGCTGTATACATATACGTACATTTAATTACATGTAAAATGTAAATTGCACATACTGGCAACAGACTTATTACTGCTCACTGTTACTCTGGCAAGCGACAGACCCGTCCTCTCGTCAGAGAGCGCCTCACATCAACAAACGTACAACTGTCTGACAGTAATAAAGATCTGGTCTTAAGCCCCAGATGGGTGCCTTATTCCAAGACAGACTGGCCAACATAACTTTGCAGAATTACAGAATTACTTAATTACGGACTTGAATTAAGGAGCACCCAAGAGTTGAAGTGTTGACGGCTTTCCTTTATGTGTTATTGTTGCAGTAATCTTTTGAAGTGGTATAATTATTGCAGTTACGACTGGTGACTGCCCAAGAAATTGATTCGTCTAATCCAAAACCCATTGATACGTGGCAATATGAAAGAATCAGGAAGGAAACGATCGTGCCCTAATCGAGGCAATTGCCTGGAGGAGGTGAGGAAACCGTGGGGGTACATTGTCTGGGAAAGGAGCCCCTGGCAAATGTAAGGCTGTAGCGTTACCACTCTGCTAACCTGCACTGTTAACTGGCCTTCATATCCCTGAAGATGACACTGCGATTCTCCGCGGCCATCAGCTGTTGCGTGTGCTGGAGGCCTGACAAGTCTAAGTTGCCATTCCTCCTGTTAGTCATTTCTTTTTCAAGTTGAACTTGTTAGAGGCAGTTATTGTTATGTAATTATGAATTTAGCATTCTCTTTAGAAGACACATGTCCAGTGCATGCAGCAAGCACGAGGAAGATAAGAGAAAACACCAATTGTCATACCTAGGTGTAGACAGGATGATAATATAACGTGTCGGCTGTGCGACGCAACACGAATAAATCATGTGGGTCTTCGGATCAGAACGAATTCTTTTATTGGACGCTTATTTGTACACACACTCGTACAGCGATTCGCACAGAGCGCCATTGCACCGTCAGCACACTCTGGAACTCTTCTGCCGAGTCTGAGCACAGCCTGCCTCTGTCTCGCAAGAGTCGAGTGCAAGACTCAGAATCTCTGCTGAGATTTCACTCGCAATATCACGTGATACTGAACTCTCAGAGTCAAAGTCACATTGCGCCTGACGGTCAGTCACTTAAGTCTTAGTGTCGAGCCCCATCTGGGGCCCATGACCAGATATTTATTGACTGTTTCGGTCTTGTCTTCTGTGGAGCGCCCTCTCTGAGGAGAGGACGGGTCTGTCTTTTGTACATGCTGCTGGCTTTGCCAGCGCAGTCTTTCTCGGGTCCGAGTCCCTTGGTACTCGCGACCATATTTTACTGTCTCAGATTTGAGACTTCCCTTTTCGTCGCCTCCTACGACTCTCAGGGACACGGTGGAGGTATTCGACCCCGCCTCCACACGGAACGAACTCTCGCCAGAGCTACACTATTATATGTATATCCAGCGTTCGGACGGGATAGGGAATACCTCATCGATGGGTTAATTTCATCCGTTGTTACGCAACGAACAGTCCGTTGCTTAGGACACTCTGTAGAAGTGTTTGGTTTCATCCGTTGTTACGGATATTCCCACGCAACGGTCTGTTGGTATTCGATTCGTCGCTGTGGGAACTCGACGCTTTCCATGTATTCGTTGTTGCCGAAGTATGCGTTCCCATTGCAGCCGTTGCGCAGCGATGGACTCCTATAGCACTTCACATATGTTACATATACACATATAAGGTGGTTGAGAACTGGATACAGTTGTGTAGGGATAATGACGTGTAGTGGCCTCTTGTGAACATGGTAATGAACTTTTGGGTTTTATAAAGGGCTGAGGATTTCATAAGTAGCCGAACGACTGTTAGTTTCTAATAGTAACGGTAAAGTGGTCCCTGTGCTTATCTAATTAAGCACTGTGCCATGAAGGCGTATGGGTGAGTGGATGTATAGACCCACGTTTTCTTGACATCAGCACTAGTTCGAGGTGAGTTGTCAGCTTCACGACACGGCTGATTTACCCCAGAGGAAAGAGCACTCGGTACCAATTGGATAGGAGGCTGGGTGGACCCCAAATCTGGTCTGGATGACACGGAGAAATGAAAATTCATGCACGCACCGGGACTCGAACTCAAACCCCTTGGTCGTTCATCCATATCGACAGTGCTGTCCCGGCTCTCCAACTTTTCATAGTAATTTATTCTTATTACAGGAGCTCCGCTTTGTTTTGAAATATTGCTTCGTGACATTCACATAGTTAGGCTGAACAAGTTGACCCCAGCGGTGACTGGGGGCTTCAGACAGCCTTGGCTGAGGTTCCTCTTATGGATTTCCTGAGTCCATACAGACAAATTCCAGGATAGAACCTTAAATTCTGGCACAAGTGCTTCCTTCCATAGAAGGTGAACATGTCCCCGTGCTTAACTAAGTAATCACAACACCATGAAGGCGTATCGGGGAGTGGATGTATAGATCCACATTTTCTTGACCTCGGCGCTAGCTGGAAGTGAATGCTTCATTCCATACTTTTCCCAATCCATTATCCGCCAATTGTGCAGTTATTTGACGCTTTGCACCTCAAGTTACTGACAGCAATGTTAAGCAAGACACAAATGGCTCAGGAAACTTTTCAATTTTTTATGGAATTTTACCTGGACTTCATCCATTGCGCGGTTTAAAGTATGAAATTGTTCTTCGAATGAAGGTTAGCTCTGTCTCATAGGCTCAACTGAGTAGAGTTCTGGCTTTGTGTTTGGCCTGAGGGCAGAGTGAAAACTAGTCTTTCAAACAGTATTTTTTAGAATTTTGTATTTTAAATAGGAAGGTGGATAATGCGCAACCAAGAGTACTGAATCAGGCAAAGGAACTAGGTTCTCTTAACATAAATAAGACTGAAGATGCATCATGCCATGACCTAGTGTAGGCATGTCTCATTACAGTGGTTAGTATAAAACTGGTGAAGGTTACTTATTGTTGTCACAGTCCCACTGCTTATCTTATGATGGATATAATGGAGGAAAGAAGTTGACTGGGATTTGAAAAAATGTACATAACAGCAAAATTGATGATGACTATCCCAGGTCATCTTTTCGGCAGGAACATCTTTGTCTTTACCAGTTTCTGTTTCAGTAACATTCTTTTTGAGGGAAGCAGGGTAGGACAGATAGACATTTGGCTGTTTTATATTTGTATTAGTAATACCTCCATTGTCATTAAATTTTAAAAACAACCCTTTCTTTGCCAGTGTAGCTGAGTTGAGCAGAACCTGTTGAGGAGAGTGGATGTTGAAGCATTTGCTTGAGATTAGTCTAGAGTCCAATAACTGGAACTCATAAGATCTCAGCTGTTTTTCCAATTTTTGTAATATTACTATGGAAACAGGTTAATAGAGGGATCAGTAGGTACAAACCATGATACAACTGTCAGAAGAATTTATTTTTATAAGCATTTATGAATTGTACATGAAATCTCTTTTGTTAACTGCTGTGTTATTTCCAAAGGAAGTTAAAGTTGTGTGATATTGGTTAGGAAAGGGACAGAGGAGACGCCATTGAAACATTCAAGAGTGTCTGCCCCAAGTGTGCAACCCACAGCCTGAAGATTTTGCAAGCTTTCCGTCATGATCGACCCGTACTCAGAAGAAGTGCTATGGATTGTCATCATAGGTTTCATAATGGCCTTTGTGCTGGCATTTGGTCTTGGTGCGAATGATGTTGCCAACTCTTTTGGTACTTCAGTTGGATCAAAAGTACTTACTGTCAAGCAGGCGTGTTGTTTGGCAACAGTGTGTGAAATTGCTGGATCCATATTGCTGGGTGAGTACAACATGTGTTCCGTACACAAGTGACGGACAGATTATGCAGTCAATATGTGCACAGCATGCAGTATGGGTGTGTAGCAATGACAGCTGATTACAAGATACTTGCATATAATGGATGATGCAAGCAACTTTAAATCTTTTACAGTTTGTTGTCTGCCACATTAACGCTGCCAACAGTAGACATTTGCTTGTAAAAAATAAAACCCAGTGTCTAACCTTAGAATGTTTTTAGATATGTAGTTTTAAAAACCGAACTGCAATCTTAACCTTCCCAGAATGGAACCAGAGTTTTAACATTGTAAACACAAAACGAGACGCTCAGTCTTCTTGACTTCTTGTCGAGACAAATTCTAAGATTAGGCTTTTGGTCATGTTTTTACAGATAAACTTATAAAGGATGGCAGTGCTCTGATGGTTGGCAGCACAGTAGTTACATTCAAAGTTATGTGAGTCACCTAATAATATGGAGCCATAGTTTGTTATTTCCGTCATTATGACTACTTTGCAGATGTTTAAGAAGCAATGCAGGTTGAAGTTTACATTTCACTGTCTGGTTTCGGAAAGTGACCACAGTATGGCATGGTCCAAATAATGTTTAAACTTGATCTTGTATTCTGTATCAGATGTTTTAGTTATCAGCCATCTGATACAGCTTAATCATAAAAAGTGCTATGAATTTTCTTATACTTAACTGCCCGATGTGTTTAATTATCAAGGGCATGCTTAAAAAAATCAATGAATTACATGTACTGTAAGTGTGTGATAGCCTGTGTCTCTGTATGGATGTGGGTATGGAACTTGGTCTCTGACAGGAGGAACATAGGCTGAGGGTGTTTGAGAACAGGGTGTTGAGGAGAATATTTGGACCGAAGAGAGATGAAGTGACAGGAGGCTGGAGAAAACAGCATAATGAGGAGCTTCATAACGTGTACTCTTCTCCAAGTATAATTAGAATGATCAAGTTAAGGAGGATGAGGTGGGGAGGGCATGTAGCACGAATTGGGGAGACGAGGAATGCATATAGGATATTGGTGCGAAAGCCAGAAAGAAAGAGACCACTGGGAAGACCAAGGCATGGGTGGGTGGACAATATTAAAATGAATCTTAGAGAGATAGTATGGGCTGGCATTGATTGGATTGGTCTGGCTCAGGACAGGGACTAGTGGAAGAACATGGTCATGAACCTTTGGGTTCCATAAAATGCTATGAAATTCATGAGTAGCTGCAGAATTGACGGCTCCTCCAGAAGGGCTCAGCTCCACTAGTAAGTAAGTAAGTTTGTCATATACACATAACATAATTAGTTCTTTAAGATTAAAACCTGGTTATTTTTATTCAATCTCTTGTTGAATATTGGGTCTTACTAGTCACAAAGGATTAGGATTTATGTAAAATGTATATATCCAAAGAGTTTGTGGGAGTAGGTAGACATATTGTTCCATCTAGAACATGTGTTGCATTTATTGTATAACTTGTAGTTTAAATCCACAATGTTTACATGTGTTTTTTTTCTGCGTGCAGATTGTGAGAAGAGTTTAATGTGGTCATGCTTGTCCTTTCCTATCCCTTCCTGTTTATGCATGAACAGGCAGGTTCTACTGCCACCTGAACATTATCACCCATGTTACTCAGTGGTACTGACATTTTGTGTGTTCTGTGTTGCAGGGTACAAGGTGTCAGACACAATGAGGAAAGGTATTTTGCAGGTTAACGTTTATGACGACGCAGAGTACGAGCTGCTGTTGGGCATGTTTGCAGCCCTGAGTGAGTAACATGTTTAAAATAGTAATATAAGAAAGTTTGTGTAATTTGCACATCCTGACATCATCAGGTCCACTAGCAGAAGCATCCCATCCCAACTTATGAACTTTAACATTGGAGAAGTGGATGTAGTTTTAACTTTGTCCAAGTCTTCTGAACCTGATTGTGTGTTCTTTAAGATGTTAGTGAATGTTTCTGACTAGTATACAGCAAGGTTTGTTCCACATACACTACATGGATCTCTGCAAACCAAACCAGAGTTCTTTTGGAGAAATTAATGATTTGTCAGTTACTCGGCTGACTTCATAACTTGATTAGGCTCTAAGAGTCTGCTGTGGTGTTCACTAGAGCCCGCCACTGGATCCTGAACCACCTCATAATTCCACATCACATTTGTCTAAAATGCATCTTAATATTATCCCTTCACCTATGCATATGTCTACCAAGCAGATTTTTCCCCTTCTGTGTTTTCAACCAAAATTTTATACACGTTTCTGATGTCTTCTGTGCTTGCCACATACCCTGCTTACCACATTACTCTTATTTTGGTCACCCTGCTAATATTCGGTGAAAAACACAAATTGCAGGTCTCTGTTCTCCAGTCACTTCCTCCCTCTTGTTCTGAATATTCTTCTCAGCACCAGGTTCTCAAGACACCCTCAGTCAGTGTTCTTCATTTAACCTTCAAGAGGACCAGGGACAACTTTTGTCATCACCAAAGCTGATGGCCAGTGGCCCAGTGCGCCATATACACACCTGGCTCACTGAGGGCTATTGCAGAGAGTAGCAGATAAAACTATGATTCCATTGCCTGCAAGGCCTGTGTGTCACGAGTTTAGTTTTCTGGATGGCCACTTCCCACTGCATTGCCCTACTCATACTCAAAATAAACTGCCCTCTATTTCTTGTCATATGTCATCTTATGTTTTTTCCCTCTACCAATACCTTAATATTGTGTAGCAGCACTAACACACTGTGTTATGGTGTCTTAGTTACATGTTTTTATACTAAAATATATTAACTACCTGTGATTCAGAAAGCTTTCTGCTCCAGGCCAAAGGGGGCAGATTTGAGAGGTCTAATTTGTATTTATGTTCATAGAGCAAGTAGTTAAGAGAAACTGACATATTTGTGTCTTAAAGTTTTGTATGAAGGTTTTGTTGGCAGGATTATAAAATTCACTTTTTCTCTTGAACCGCTCGTTCATCATGCAGCAGTTAGTGCCCAGGAGCTTATGCATTATGGTTGAACTATCCCATTTAGTTTGTGTGTAGACACTGCATCTGGTTTCTTGGTCGGTTTTGGTAAGAGAGATGAAGTTTCTTGAGCTAGCATTCCAAGGTGTATATTTGGCAGTGATGGAGAGGGCCTATCTTAAAGCTGGAATCAATTACATCTAGAGGAACATCAATTTCTGTCTTGAACTGATATTTTGAATGAAATAAAGTCCAGAAAATTAATATAGGCTGCAAATAGAGCATATGTGAAAGTTGACAGGAAATTCATATGAAATTTGGATAGCAATATCTTTTCTAAGAATGCCACCTGGTAGACAAAGAAATGAATATGTCAGTAATATTGAAATAAGTCTTAGAGAAAGAGGACATTGTGGTGTGGGCTGAACTGGCTCAGGGTACAATTTACATATCATACATATTGAGACAGTTTTGTTGTTGCAGTTGGCAGCTCTGTGATGCTGCTTGGTGCAACATTCCTGAAGCTTCCCGTGTCTGCCACTCACAGTATCGTTGGTGCTACTATCGGTTTCTCTCTTGTTTGCCGTGGCGATAAAGGGATCAACTGGAAAGTCCTTGGAATGATTGGTAGGTGTGGTGTTGTTAAGGGTTTCTGTTGGCTGCACCATAGCTCAAGCTGTTAGTTGCTTGCTTCCCACCGTGGCGGCCAGGGTTCGATCCCAGGTCTGGTCAAGTGGGATTTGGGGTGGACAAAGTGACGCTGGGGCAGGTTTTCTCTGAGTACTTCGGTTTCCCTTGCAATCTTCATCCCACCAGTTGCTCCACAATCACCCTCCCCTATCATCTGGGGCTGGTACAATAGGCCAGAAGTGGCCACAGTACAAGGGGCTTAGTCCCACCCCACTAGTAACAGGAAAAAAGTGGGTTTCTTTTTAAAGGGTTTTCAAAAGGAACCTGTTCCTCCTTTGGAACCCCGAGAAATATCTTTTGCAGAGCAGCTATATATAACCCTGGAATTTCTCACACAAAAATTGTCACTAATTTCTGTGGTAAATGTAATGTAACAGCTACATTATGTAAGGTTTGAGGTTTTGCACAGCCATAAGTATTCATACTCTGGGCTTCTAGGTTATGACACTGTAAAGTCTGGGTGGCTACCATTTTACAGGAATATGCAGGATCCATGAAGATGCCAGATGTTCCTCCAAAATGCTAGTCCGAAACTACCAGACTGCACACTGCCATATCCCATGATATCACAGTGTGAATATTCAGCACTAGAAATCCAGAGCATCATAGAAGTTTCATTTTGCAGTGGGATCTTGGTTTGTATCACCGCTGCTGTCTGGCGTGATATCCGTGTCACTGTATCTGGTGATCCGTCGCCTTATCCTCAATGCGTCTGATCCCATAGCACGAGGATTGCTCTCTCTGCCCATTTTCTATGGCATAACCATCTTCATCAATGTTTTCACCATTGTTCACGAAGGATCATCACGTAAGTAGTGCGGTTTCTCCAGGAGCAGTTTTCACATGAGGACTGTCAACTTATCTTAAGGAATCTGTAATTGAAAAATTATATTTGACTGCAGATTGTTGTGAAATTTGAAGATTCTCATGAGGGCGAATGTACACAGGTTGGTGAAAATGTTTCAAGCTCAGTGGGTTAAGACTAAGGTGCTGTGGAATGTGATGCCCTGTAGCTTGG